GTAACTACTCAGTAATGTGAACGCCATATAATTGTAACTACTCAGTAATGGGAACGCCATATAATTGTAACTACTCAGTAATGGGAACGTCATATAATTGTAACCACTCAGCAATGTGAACGTCATATAATTGTAACTACTCAGTAATGTGAACGCCATATAATTGTAACTAATCAGTAATGGGAACGTCTTATAATTGTAACTACTCAGTAATGTGAACGTCATATAATTGTAACTACTCAGTAATGAGAACGTCTTAGAATTGCAAGTACTTAGTTATATTCGACAAAAATCAATACGACTATAGCTAACTGTATGTGCCTCAAATGAGGTTAAGTCAGTCAGTGGAAGGAAACTGATATTTATTTTATCAATAGTAACGATACCTCTCTCAGGTCCTCATTATTTTGTCTTTTCTGTTTAGTTGAGTTTCAGTCCCTCATATTCAGACTCATTGCTTCATATAATAAACTGAAACATATTATAGAACACAATAATTCTAACTAACTTGATCAGTTATACTGAATCACGTTAATACTATATTTATCTACTTAACTTAATGTTTCATGTTAACTTTATTTCAGACACAAGGTTTCGGTCCAGCAATGAAACCAGCAGAAAGTAGTCCACTGATCTCCACTTGGACTGTACCTCGGTTGGTTAATTTGACCAGTAACCTCAACATTGATGCCCACAATAGTACTTTCAGCGATATTAGGAAGGAACTACAAACCATCGCGCTGATTCTTACGTTTATTTTAAGTGTTATCAGTAATGGGATTGTTTTTGTACTGTTCTACAAAAAACCTCTACTCCGATCGTTCTCAAACCGTTTCGTCCTAAACCTGTCTTTAACGCATTTGCTACAAACACTATTGATTCTGCCCGGTTTCCTGTTAGGTGGTGTGCTTGGAGTGTGGACATTAGGCGACACCTGGTGTCACATTAGTGGAATAGTCTCAACATGCCTTAACTTAGAAACGTCATTTTCTTTAGTATTAATCGCCGTAGACAGGAATTATGCAGTTAATAGCCCTCTACATTATTCGATGACAATAACAAAAAGAAAAACAGGCGCTTTTATAGCGGTCACGTGGATTGTTGCATCTCTCTTGTGTACGCCTCTGATCTTTGGAGTTCCACAAATTCAGTTTCGAATAAACTGGTGCGCATGCGCTCCTCTTTGGGGTCAAAGAGACCTCTACACGTACGTCTACTCGGGGCTTATTGTGATGGCCGGCCTAGTGATGCCGCTGGTCAAACTGAGCTCGACCTATTGCTCCATGTTTCTCGCTGCTAGAACTAGCAGTGTCCGTGTACGTCAACACAATGTCAACACGCCCTCTGTGACAGAAGTCCAGTTCTTCGCGCCTCAAGAAACTTGCACGATTCACCAATTGAAAAAGAAGTCGTATCGTAGAGCGTCTAGCTCCAGCCAATTCTTCTTCTTCGGAGACGAGTGGAAGGCAGTGAGAACCGGTGTTATTGTTATTTTTTCTTTCATCATTTGTTGGGGGCCATATTTTGCAGTTATTGGAATAGAGCCCTACATACAGTTTAAGAAATGGCCGCCAGAGTACATCGTGCCCGTGTCGATATTTTTGTCGTTCAGTTCTTGTGTCGTTAACCCTTACATCTACGTGTTCCGAAATAAGACCACCAGGAATCACGCCAAACGACTTTTCCAGCACGTAAGTCGAGATGTGGAGCCGCGGTTATCGACGTTTAAACAAGCGGAAGTTAACTCGTCCTTGATTCCTCACCTTCCACCAGTCCAGATGGAGGACGACCTTTCATCTCAGCCACAAGAGGCAATCGGTTCAGCTTAACACACGGCGTTTTTCAGAGAGAAATGGCAACAATTGACCAGAAGTTATATAATCCATCTGAGTCAATCGTACGTCCACAAAACCAATTCATTTCTTGTCCCCAGGAGCCTAGAAGTTTAGAAGACGACAGCAATCACAGCAATGGCTTTTACCAGTACGTCCCCGTTTCGCCCTCTGCAGACGGTTTCATCGTTTTTCAGCTGCGTTGTCATCACCAGGACTCCACAAGTAGTGACACCACGGACAATGTTGGCACCTCTATAGACAGTGTGGACGATAACTTCAGTCTCTACGGGGCAATGTTCCGCAAGCGGAAGAACTCTCGAGACAGTACTTCGACTCTTCTTCACGAGAAGGAAGCCAAAATCCCAATTAAACCACGTGCCAGACCACCATTATTACGGGCATGTTCCTTCGAACAAGATGAACAGGCAGAAACAAACTCCGTTCAGGTAGTTACTAAGTCTTGCTCGGGAAGAAGGAGATCTCTTCCTCAGCACCGTATCCTCCTTCAACAATCAAGTGATAGTACTCTTACTTCATCTTTATCAACGGAATCTCAGGAATCACAAAATATAACTAACGTCAAATCACACTGTCTAGTCCGCCCTCTGTTGGCCAGTCAACAACCATCCAGTGTTTCATATTGTCAGAAACTGGTAGAGGAAGAACTCGGAATGGAAACGTTTAACAAAGACGACAGGGCATGTTTTTCTGTATATGCTGAAAGAAAAGAAACATGTTAATTGTGTATTTTCTTGGAGTATTTGTAGGTGACGAATTTATATGATATGGCTGCGTGAAGAACCGTTTTTGTTTGTACTTATATTTATACATTAGTGTCCATTTTATTTTCTTATTTACAACAGATCTCTCTGACAACTGAATAAGGGAGAAATCATTGGACTGTCTGCTTTGAAGGATAAGGGATAGTATGAAAGCTAAGTTTCAAGAGAGGGGGATAGTATTAAAGCTATGTTTCAAGAGAGGGGGATAGTATTAAAGCTAAGTTTCAAGAGATTTTAACACTGTCCAATATATTCATATCATTAGTAGCTTTTAACACTGTCCAATATATTCATATCATTAGTAGCTTTTAACACTGTCCAATATGATCATATTATTAGTAGCTTTTAACACTGTCCAAAATGTTCATGTCATTAGTAGCTTTTAACACTGTCCAATATATTCATATCATTAGTAGCTTTTAACACTGTCCAATATGATCATATTATTAGTAGACTTAAACACTGTTGTAAGTTGTTCGTGTCATTTTACAAACAAGTTAATATAGCCTGACAGATAGTTCGTAGATTAACGCAACTTTACAGCGAAATTATTAACCCTTTAGCCTTACAATCAGTTTGTAGGTTCATGTCACTTTACACTTATGCTAATACCTTTCAAACTGAGCATTATTACTTTCCTCTATCTTCAAACTTGGAAGTCTTGCTATCCCCCCTCTCTTGAAACTTAGCTTTAATACTATCCCCCTCTCTTGAAACTTAGCTTTAATACTATCTCCCGCTACTAATGATATGAATATATTGGACAGTGTTAAAAGCTACTAATGATATGAACATTTTGGACAGTGTTAAAAGCTAATGAGGACATGAACATTTTGGACAGTGTTAAAAGCTACTAATGATATGAATATATTGGACAGTGTTAAAAGCTACTAATGACATGAACATTTTGGACAGTGTTAAAAGCTAATGAGGACATGAACATTTTGGACAGTGTTAAAAGCTACTAATGATATGAACATTTTGGACAGTGTTAAAAGCTAATGAGGACATGAACATTACTAAGTAAACAAAACAATCTTTAGGTTGTATTTACTGTTTTAGATAACAGTTACAATCTTAAGTATTACCCAAACATTGTCTATGTTTATTAAATCACAATTCTATACTGAACAAAGCTTATTGCTAAGTCTGTAATACTAAAATGATGTGTTTGGTGTAATAATTTCAAGTTGATAACATGAATTTGTTGTATGTTGTAATCAAATAATCACATTTTTGTACGTCTCAACAATAAAATACAAGATTCTTGTAACATTATTGGTGGAATTAATTTTGTGAGTGTTAACAAAACCTATGAACGAATTTCGTAAAAATTTGACTTTTTAAAATACATGTTTCAGACAAAATTGACACTTGTATTAATTATTAATTATTTAATATATTTTAATATAATTAATTAAATATATCCCTATTAACTGTTTTTCTAGTCGCATAAATTGATTTTTCAACAATATTGATAACATTATTTATGTAACAGCAAGTGTCTCACTGGATAATGATAACACTATAGATATAACAGCAAGTGTCTCACTGGATAATGATAACACTATAGATATAACAGCAAGTGTCTCACTGAATAATGATAACACTATAGATATAACAGCATGTGTCTCACTGGATAATGATAACACTATAGATATAACAGCATGTGTCTCACTGGATAATGATAACACTATAGATATAACAGCATGTGTCTCACTGGATACTGATAACACTATAAATATAACAGCATGTGTCTCACTGATACTGATAACACTATAAATATAACAGCATAGTGTCTCACTGATACTGATAACACTATAAATATAACAGCATGTGTCTCACTGATACTGATAACACTATAGATATAACAGCATGTGTCTCACTGATACTGATAACACTATAGACATATCAGCATGTGTATCCTAAATAAAACCCTGAGAAGTAATCATCTGGTGAATCCTAAGTAAAACCCTGAGAAGTAATCCTCTGATGAATCCTAAATAAAACCCTGAGAAGTAATCCTCTAGTGAATCCTAAATAAAACCCCGAGAAGTAATCACCTGGTGAATCCTAAATAAAACCCTAAACTAGAGGATTACTTCTCAGGGTTTTATTTAGGATTCACCAGAGGATTACTTCTCAGGGTTTTACTTAGGATTCACCAGATGATTACTTCTGAATCCTAAATAAAACCCCTGAGAAGTAATCCTCTAGTGAATCCCAAATAAAACCCCTGAAGAAGTAATCACCTGGTGTATCCTAAATAAAACCCTGAGAAGTAATCACCTGGTGTATCCTAAATAAAACCCTGAGAAGTAATCACCTGGTGTATCCTAAATAAAACCCTGAGAAGTAATCACCTGGTGTATCCTAAATAAACCCCTGAGAAGTAATCACCTGGTGTATCCTAAATAAAACCCTGAGAAGTAATCCTCTAGTGAATCCTAAGTAAAACCCTGAGAAGTAATCCTCTAGTGAATCCTAAGTAAAACCCTGAGAAGTAATCCTCTAGTGAATCCTAAGTAAAACCCTGAGAAGTAATCCTCTGGTGAATCCTAAATAAAACCCTGAGAAGTAATCACCTGGTGAATCCTAAATAAAACCCTGAGAAGTAATCACCTGGTGAATCCTAAATAAAACCCTGAGAAGTAATCACCTGAAAAGATAGAATAATTCTGTCCGTGTCTCTACCAAGTGGTGTTTTTGGAAGAAATGTCAATCATTACATCATTCTACGACCATTGGAATAAATGAAAATCTGTAGATGGTGTCAGTGAAATAACTTGTTTTTAGATCCTGAAACAATCGTCCTTATATCTAGCTTCATCTTTTTCAGTGTTTCATCTGTTCCTACCAAGCTCTATTCAGTGTTGATCTGGTACCATTCATACAGATATAAGATTAAGTATTTGAGACGAATAGCAACAAATATATATATATATACGGTGTTGTGTAATACGGGGGTAGTGAATAACATATGAAATAAAGTGTTATGAGCAATGAATGAAATACGGTGTTAAACAATATACATGAAATACGGTGTTAAACAATGTATGAAATGCGATGTTAAACAATATACATGAAATACGGTCTTGAACAATATATGAAATAAGGTGTTAAACAATATACATGAAATACGGTGTTAAACAATATATGAAATACGGTATTAACAATATACATGAAATACGGTCTTGAACAATATATGAAATACGGTGTTAAACAATATACATGAAATACGGTGTTAAACAATATACATGAAATACGGTATTAAGCAAACTTATCTGTAATTTATCTTTAAATATAATTCCACACATAATTCTGATTATCGCGAACTGCTGCTTAAAGTTCATGAAATAAACGGTATGAATGACTGAGGAGTTTCCTTTCGTTCACATACAGAATGTAGGAACGGTTTAGCCTAACGACAGCTTATCTGTCTTCTTCTACTTCCGCTGTGCCACATTTTACTGTCGTGTCTTCGTTACGACCGTGAGCGGCGGCACCATTTCAGACACGTGTTTTGTAAGAGTTTTACCCCTGACGTTGGACAGTGTCATTGGCAATGGTGACGCTGTCCGACCAGATTGTATTTTTAATTTTTTACGAACAATTGGACTTTTTAATTGTATATAAATCTTTTATCCAAATTTTGGTTTTAACTCGCTGTATTTTTACATTTTACTACAATTTACTTTTACTGTTTTTACCGGTTGTTTGGCACAGATAGCCTCGTTGCTTTGCGTCATAAAACACCAAACAACCAACCAACTTCCGCTGTGACATTCATGACACTTAGAACATAACTCGTCTAATTTTACTTAGTTGTGACTCACGTGTTTTGGGAAGTTTAGGAAACTTGACTTCAACTCGCGTGTAGCAGTGAAGTAAACTATAGACACTTTGATTGAAAGAGATGACACCGGTTTCGTTGTTGCCTCGAAACCGTTTCAGTATTAGAACCCGAAAATTATGTCATTCACTCTTAGGTTTGTTCTAAAACTGTCGCCACTAAAGTCGATTAACTCCGGCGGTGGTGAATTATTGCTGGCAGGAGGGGGGTGTCGAACTGTTTCTAGTAGACGTGTATTAGCCAGCATTGGCTGTTGAAAATGTACACCAATAAATCAGGTTTTCAATCTTTCTCTGCTGGCTTTACAGAAATCCACTAGAATCACTTCATCAGGAAGTGACAGCCAATAATGGATAATTACTTTTCAGAGAATTGTGTAGCG